AGAATGGAGAGGAGACAGGATCAGTGTAGGGCATCTTGACAACTTGGGAGGAAGGCACCCCACTCCTCTTCCCAAGGTTAGCCTGGGGAATGAGATTTAAAGAGACGCTATTGGGACGGGCATTTGTCGGAAACAAGTGTTGAATCCATGGAGCCTCCCATGCAGTTGCTGACATCTGGATTTTGCTGTGCTTTGTTCTTGTGGGCCTTGCCTGGTTTGCCTGCTGCGCTGGATTTCTTTCCTTGGTTGCTGCCTTGCTAACTTTGCTTAACGGACTACTTGCAGCCAGAGGCTGTCGGAGGTGCGTCTGAGAGCTTTGCTCCAGGACTTGCAGTAAATGTGGGGATGTTTGGGGGAAAGTTGGAGAAATAAAGGGGAGTTAGAACTGTTCTCTGGCTGTGTGGCTTCCGTGCCTCGCCCCGGGTCATCACCTCATTTAGAGAATACAGTAATGTTTTTCTGACATGGTCTGTTTTTGAGAAACTCATGTTAGCTTCTAATAATAGCCTTGGTTGTTTGTAAACGTCCGCACATCTATTGCTTGATTATCTTTTCCCGGATCTTCACAGGTATTGATGCCAGGCTGATTAGCATTCAGTAGTATACATAAAAAAAGAAGGACAACACTTCCCAGAAGCAAATATGTTGGTGAATGATTAAAATTTTCATACTGAACCCTGAAATGAAGCATGAACACAAGTGAAGTCAAATACCGAAGAAACATCAAACCTAATCAGAAAAGCCTCAAGAAAGAAATTTTTCTCTATATATTTTCTGTATTTTCCTCTCTTCACTGTATCATTTCCTGCAAACTATCTGAGGGAATCCACACTTCACAGCAGACAGAATTGGTTTCATAGGGAAAGGACTTATAAATTTCAAGAGCGCTCTTATCAATGTCAGTTTTTCATAAAGTTCAGATAGCAGATTCAGATATAAACGGAATACCTATGCAACCGTCTCCAAACAACATACACATATGTTCCCTGATAGACACATATGTTCCCTGATGTGCAGCCTGCTTGACCCTTGAGTTTAATGTTGAAGTAAATATTAGGAAGTTTAACCTTCATGGGAAAATAACCAATGCACGTCAGAGTAATTCTTACTCAGTGTTCCATGTCATTTCACATGACAGCAAAAATCCTTTCGTCAGCTTCTCCACATAATTCAAAAACGGGATTGGAAAATTTCTGCTCTGTAACTGGAGGTTTTTAAGAAGAGATTGGACAACCATTTGTCTGAAATGGTATAGGGTCTTCTATTTGAACGGAGGGTTGGACTAGAAGATCTCCAAGGTCTCTTCCAACTCTTATTATTCTGTTTCTCAGGGTGAAAATAGAAACCATACATAGACTATACTAAATGAGCAGCAATTGAAGTTGCATTAAGCTATTTTTCTCTTATAACAGTTTCAAAGTCTCCCTTCTCAAAAATGACCTAGAAGTAATCTGACCTGGAGGTTACAGTTGATTATAAAACCCCAAAGCAAACATTACATTTTTTTTGCAATTAAGACAGAGAAATGTTAAAATTGAATTTTAGCCAACTTGAAAGGTATCTAGAAAGCAGGTTAGAAAGACAAGAATGTTTATAAGCACCATTAACATTATTTTAAAAAAAAAAACTAACCGCAAGCAAAGTTGATTGATTGTAGGTGCTGATTATTTTCTTCTTAGATGTCAGTTTTAGAATAACTCTAGTCAGAGACATTCTTAATTACTGTTTTGACATTTAAAAGCAGCTGAACCATGGCAAAGACATTAAAGCTTAACAACAAAGAAACCAAAGTATATTAAATATTGTTCACATTGACTACTAGCAGCTCCCTAGAGCTTAGAGAAATATGGAAATCAAACATTTTACGTTGAAAACATGCACAAGAAAAATGGGGATGAGATTTTTAACACTGAAGTTTTATTGTAAGCCACCTAAAGTCACAAGAAAAGGTACCATCCAAATATTATATATGATTTATTGGAAAGGGACCTGAAAGCTTAAGCCTTTTAATAAAATTTGTGATTCTGAAAGGATGCCATTAGATTTATTTTTTCCACTGTCATAGATTAACATGGTTTTCCTCTTAAGGGAAAGGTAAAGGTTCCCCTTGCACATATGTGCTAGTCATTTCCAACTCTAGGGGCCGGTGCTCATCTCCGTTTCAAAGCCAAAAAGCCAGTGCTGTCCGAACACGTCTCCATGGTCATGTGGCCGGCATAAATAAATGCCAAAGACACACAGAACGCTGTTTCCTTCCCACCAAAGGTGGTTCCTATTTTTCTACTTGCATTTTTACATGCTTTTGAACTGCTAGGCTGGCAGAAACTGGGATAAGTAATGGGAGCTCACTCCGTTACGTGGTGCTAGGGATTTAAACCGCCAAACTGCTGACCTTTCTGATCTACAAGCTCAGCGTCTTAGCCACTGAGCCACCATGTCCCTTATGGCTTTCCTCTTACAAGTTCTTTATTTAGATGCAACTTACATGCAAATCCATTTTCTGAGCCTGAGCAGCTGAGAGCCACTGGTTAATGGAAGGTCCATTCCAGGTCCTGGGAACCACAAAATAGAAAAGATCACTCAGTGCCTGTAGAGATAATTCATTCTAAGTGTAGTATGTGGATTTTTATTTTTTCACTGTGCTATGGAAGTTTAAAATGCACAATTTAAAACATTATAGTAAATATCACATTGTGATTTAGTTTTCATCTCAATTACTGGGAAACAAGTTTCTCCTTTGTTGTTTAACGGATGTCTAAGATCTGCAAAAAGTAGTTGAGAGCTGCATGTTGGTACTACAGGTTGCCAACACAAGGTTTTGAGTCATGTGGTTCTCTAGTTAGATTGTTGCTCTCCAAATAACTTGAGAACACATTTTGACATATATCTCTAATTTCTTAAGGATCAAGTCATGTTGGTTTCTTCAGTCACCTCTTCTGGCAGGAGAAATCAAAATGTTCAGTATAATTCATCATTAAGACAGCATTTTTAAGTAATATCCAAGCACAACTGTTATATAAAGAATCATAGAATTGGAAAAGGCCATAAAGTCTAAACTCCTGATCTAGCCTGCCCCTATTTCACCTGTGAAACCAATGGAGATGAGCCAATTACTAAATTTACACACACACACACACGGACACACGGACACACATACACACCTAGTGTTGCAAATTTGTTGCACTGTCAGTTTATACATGACTTAAAATAACTGCCTTAAGCAGTTTCTTTTGCTCACAAATCATCTAAATGATGATTCTATGTTCCAGTGACGCAGAAATAATTTCCTTTGTCTACTCCTATTATAGTTTTTGCTTCATTTGTTGCCTAATACATGCTTTCATTAGCATAACTGCACACATTTTTGTGACACTCCATAGCAAATTCATACTTTTTTAAGCAGCTTCCACGTTCATTTTTCTTGCAGCCAAGGAATGTGGGATGACAGAATTCCATCTTTATGTGCCACCAATATTCCTAGGCAGGCGATGAGTTCAATAGAAGTCTTGTGCTTGAGTTCCCCATACCTGATCTAAAGAAACTTAAATTGTTGAACTTGAGGGTAATCACTTATTGTTGCTGTATTTTTCGGAGTATAAGATGCACCTTTTTCCCTCAAAAAGGGGGTGAAAATCTGGGTGTGTCTTATACACTGAATACAGCATTTTTTTGCCTCCCAAAACCCTGCTCCCTTCACCAAAATGGCCGTGCATAGCCTTTAGAAGACTTCCAGAGTGCTGCTGGGAGCTGGGGAGGACAGAAATGAGCAAAAAACGGCCCATTTTTTGCCCCCCAGCCCCCAGCAGCACTCTATAAGCCTCCTAAAGGCTATGCATGCCCTTTTTTTGAAAAACAACGGGCCCATTTTTGCAAAAAACAGGCTGATTTTTGCTCAATACCACCACCACCACCACCACCCCCCCGGCACACAGGAGCACGCTACAAGCCTCCTAAAGGTTATGCATGCCCTTTTTTTGACAAAAAAATTGGGAGGTCTGCAGAGTGCAAAAAAATTTTTCTCTAATTTGCCTCTTCCGAAGGCACTGGAAATACAACTGGAAGTCATCTTAGAGGGTTTAAAAAAAAAACTATCACTAAAGAAGCTTAAGAGGAACAGAAATTTAATTATTGCTACTGGCAGTAAATCTTATTTCCTAGTTGACTAGTCTTTTAAGGAATTTGGAGAAATTCTAATTGTCTTCTAATGCCAATTTAGAGAAATATTTGTTCTGCTTAGTTCTTAGTTTACAGCCCTGCTTTTCATTTGAATGTACCTATTTCACTGAGTAATATTGATAAGAATATTTATCCAGTATTTAGTATTTTTGAACCCCTATTTTGATGAGTGTAAATACTAACATGAAAATATAGTTCTCATCTGAATAATTTATCCAACTACTGTCCTTTCATTTCTCCAGAGGCCTAAATAGCAACTTCCATTTTGTTTTATTTAAGTTTTTTTGTTCTGCCCTAAGTTTACCTTCAGGATTGGATAATGATAATTAACTTATTGAAAATAAATCAAGGCAAGCAAAACAAATAGCAATTTAAAATAATTATAATACATTATTATAGTAGGAAAAGGTAAAGGAGTCCTTGCAGATTTTATTCCGCTAGTCATTGCCAACTATAGGAGGTGGTGCTCAACTATGTTTCAAGGTGATTGACCCGTGGTCATGTGACTAGCATGATGTCACAGAGTGTTGTGACCTTCTCATTGAAACGGTACCTATTTATCTACTTGTATTTGCATATTGTTGAACTGCTGGGTTGGCAGGAGCTGGGGTTAGGGCAGGAACTCACTCCAATATCTAGAGCTCAGGTTTCAAACTTGGCTGCCAGCTTTCCAGATGGTAAGCCCAGCTTCTTAACCGTTAAGCCACCATGCCACCCCACTAATAATGGTACCTGTGTTAATTCAGATATCTAAAAGACAATGATGTAAGTAAATCTGTTGTCTTGAAGACTACTAATATGCATGTCCATATTCACTTATGCAGGACTAAATATCTATTCCATCTCCTCATTGGATACATCAACCATCTCAGAGACTGTAAAAACAGAAATAACCAACCAGACTTCTAGATCCAACAGCACTTTATCAACTACAAAAGCAGTTACAAGTCCTGTTACGCTTTCCTTTACAACTACACTAACAACTACTGAAAAGGATACAAACCTATCGGCTACACCTAATGACATATCAAGTACATCAGAGATGACTGTATCAACAACTAATTTGTTACCAAAACCAAGCACTGAATTACAAAGCACAGAACACATGCCAGTTGATAGCTCAGCAAAAACTAACACCACCACTTCAGGTATTATGAGTGTATCATCCAGCAGAAGCAGTACATTTGCTCCTGAGGATTACACCAGCTCTTGGGTTACTCAGTTATCAAATACTGAAGTATCCACAGTACCTGTGACATCCAAGAAATACCCTGTTGAAGTATCCACAGTACCTGTGACATCCAAGAAATACCCTGTTGAAGTAACCACGCCTGGAGTAACTACTAAGCCACTCACCTCATCAAGCACTGTGGGAAAGTCTGCAGAGTCACAAGGGACTTCAGCAAGTAAGACAACTGTTGAGAACACTCCTATTGGCAATGCCACACACTCTTCAGAGGTAACCATTCAAGAGGTTCAGCAGGCTTTGAGTTCAGGTGAGCCAATACAGTTAATACCTATAATAATATTATTATATTATGTCTTCTTTTCTTTTCATTACTTGTCACTGAGAAAGAACTTCCCTTTCTAGTAAAATATTTTAAAATAAAAAAATGTCTATTATTCATATTTTATTTATTTATAAATTTATATAACCTCTCATCTTATACAATATAACCTTGGGTAGCTCACAAACAAAAGAAAAAAATAACAAAATAGAAAGCACTCGCTCATTGACTACATTTGGACACATAATGAATAATCAGTCTCTTGAAAATGGAATGGCCTTTTAAATTCATTTGAAATTTTGCATATTATAAGAACTCCTTAATCCCAAAATAAAGCCAGTTGGGCTTTAAAGAAGGAGAGGTTTTTTGATTGTTCAACATAATCAAAGTTACACATATATGAAAAGGGATTTAAAAGCGCGCCCATTTTTAAATATTTTTAATCTACTTTATTTTATAAAAGATAGACAAATAGTGAGCAATAAATATCAACAAATTTCAGGTTTCCAGGATGCTCCATTTTAGATCTCAAAGTAGTCAAACTTGTCAAAAAAAGTATTAGCTCTATTGAGCAAGAAATTGCTCATCACACATTCATAAAAAGATTGCAGATGATGCTAAAAGAAGAAATACAATAGGTGTTTAATATATTACCATTGTTAATTCCTAACATGCTTATAATTTGCTTCATATGTGATTTGCATAACAATCTGCATAACCACTATTTTTTGTCTTCCCCTTTTCTTCTTCCTCCTGTACATCATCCCAATTTAAATCCTACATGTCTAGTTATTCTATTGCATATGATGAAGATAACACAAAATATTGTACCTTTAATAACATGTGTTGGTTGGCTAAGATACTACTAGGCTTTTTCTGAATTAAGACAAAAGATATTCAGTTCAGTAATCAAACTAAATCATAACTCAAACCAGCTGGAAATGTGATTTAAAAGTGCTTTTCTTATGCCTATTGTTTAGCACTCATAAAAACCTGGTTCAGAGTTATTATTGACTGATTTAAATGGTTTCAATGAGTCCTTTCTTGTTAGATTGCTTAGGAAAATGCAAAGCAAGAAACCTTCTTGGTTTTGATAGGTTCACAAGGATTCACAGAAGTTCTAGGATGCTACTTTTGTCAAGAAATTACTTCCCACCCCCTTAGTTTATATATGTAAAATAACTCCAAGGAGAATAAATAACAAGTACAACCTTTTAAGAGATATGTGTATGTGTCAAGTACCAATGAAATGGAGAACACCAAGTATGGAAGTTGAGCATTTTTCTTCAACCTTGGCAAGCAGATAAGAAGAATTAAAAATTTTCAGGACTCCAGAAAGGAAATCATTCACTACCTGCTTTCTGAAGTTCCTTTTCTTCCTTTCTGAGCTAATATAGAAGCTAGAATGCATTTAGCAACCAATTAAGAATATGAAATTGACATTGAAAAGCACACACAGTGAAGTCATTTCATGGCTTAAGGCAAGGAGCTTCACTCTGCCATTTTTAGTATGTGCATAACAATACTGATTTGTTGGAGCAGCTTTTATTGAATTATGTATGTGCAATTTGTGATGATTATACTACATTATTGAAGTAATAACTCCCTATCTGGCATTTTTGAAGAAAGTGAGACAATAATAAAGTATGCAAAGAATATATTTACAATATGTTGATGTAAAGAGTTGTAGATTACACAGCGTAGTAATAATAGATTTTTTGAGATAATTTTCGTCTCATTATATACCTAAAAACTAGTTTTGCATTGCTAAATTTCTAACTTCAGAACACATTGTGCAAATATATTTTATTAATATAAATCCAAAGAATACCTTGAAATGATAACTAGTCATCCAATCAATTTATGCATTCTTTTCTCCTATGCAGGAAGCATTGCAGCTATTACTATAACGGTAATTGCTGTGGTTATATTGGTATTTGGCATAGCTGCATTTTTAAAAATCAGGTAAGATTTGGCGAGCTCTTATTTAGAAGAGAAGCAATCATTTGTTTGGAAGATTGAGATGGTTTTTAGAACTGAAAGTGGGTGTCGTCATGTCCCCCCTCCCACCGTCATATACGATTGCTGATTTTGTCTCATTCTATATACAATATAAATGATTACAAGACCACATTCATTTTGTACATTGCCACAGTATTAACTGTTTCTTGCATTAAATCCTTTATTATTCTGCATTTACATTATTCCCTCACTGTACCTCCCAATGGTGCTTAGCCTCCCCCCCCCCTCTCTCTCTCATTTGCTGCACCATTACTATTCTAAAGCTATACCTCTATTGCCTGCTTATCTGCAGGTTTTTACACGCCTGTTGTTGCACTCCTGGCATTTTCTTCTGTCTCTGTTCTGTTATCTCTTGCTAGTACCCATCATATTTTTTTACAACCCAAATTGTGATATTGTGATGATCTTCTCCGCACAACTCTAAAGCTTTCTGCCTTTCCATCTCTTCTTTATTTATTTCTTTTCTTTCTTTCTCTCTCTCTCTTTTTCTCTCTCTTTCCTTCTTTCCCCCTTTTCTTTTTCTTTTTCCTATTTGAATATCCATCTTCTTCTCTGTTCAAGTACAAACTTCCACTCCCCCACAAATGCCATAATCCCAATCATGATCCTTCAACCTTCATCTTTCCCTCTCAACTATCATAGTTGATTACATTTATTATATGGATCTTGCTCTGCAATTCTTTTCTGGGAAGTTAAAGACTAACTTGCTGCTGCTAAGCAAGGTAGAATTCTATATTGCTGATGGTTTTCTTGAACTTATTCCTAAAATTGACAGGAGGATAACTTCATGATTGAAATAAGTACTGAACTAAGATGAGGGGTGTTCCTATTAACAATGTTGATTCTCCAAACAAATTTGAGGAATGAAACTACTATGTCTAATTAAACTGGCAGTTGATTGATTCAAGGACAGATGTTAAGTGGACAGAGGGAATTATTTTCCAGAAGTATGTGTAATAGCAGGAAAAAACCTGAATAACAAAATTGGAAGGGACTTTGGAGATCTTCTAGTCCAATCCCCTGTTCAAGCAGGAAATCCTATACCATTTCATACAAATAGTTGTCCAATCTCTTCTTAAAATCCTCCAAAGTTGGGGCACCCATGACTATTTCTTATCATTTTCTTGCTTATTTTGACTTTTTTTTTTTTGATAGATTAGACTGTTTTTTCCTTTAGTGTAAAGAGAGATGCAAACAATGAGTTAAGCACTTCCGCTTTCTCCTTGCTTCTCATCACCTTCTTGCCATTTTCTCCCATTAATGGACCAATCATTTCCTTGACTTTTTTTCTTGTTTTTTTTACATGTTGAAAGAAGCTTTTTTGTTATTTTTGACTTTTGTTGCAACCCTTAGTTCATTTGAACATTAGCTCTCCTAACTTCATCTTTGCAGGTTCGGGCTATGTGCTGATATTCTGCCTTAGTTATGTGCCCCTCTGTTCACTTTTCATACTTGTCTTTTTTGTCTTCCATTTTATAGAGACTTCTTTGTGCATGTTGGTTTCTTTTCAGCTTTTATTTTTCTTCATCATTGGAATTGTGCTATATCGTGCTTTTATAATCTCATTTTTCAAATTTTCTCAAGCTCCTTAGGTTGTTTTCCCTTTGAGGATTCTCATACATGGAATCCTTTTCAAGCTCTCTTTAGGTTTATTGAAACCAGAGACTATAGTTTGCCTTTGTTTTATTGCTTGTGCTTGCATAATGTTGAATCCCAGTATTGCATGATCACTACCCACCCATCTCCAAGGTTCCTGTAACTTCAACACCTACCATTTCATCCCTAATAGTGAGAATTAAGTCCAGTATGGCTGACTTTTTAGTTCCCTCCTCTGCTCAATTTGTCAGGAATCTATTTGATCTTCCACTAGCTACAGAGTTTATTTCCCAATTGATATTAGGGTAGGTAAAGTTCTCCCTTACTATGATGTGCTTCCTATATACCTTAATTAATTTATTAGCAAAAAGTTCATCTATTTCCTCTGTTTGGTTGGGTGACCTACCTACAGTATATACCTATAGCAATATCATTCTTTTTTTTTATATTGACCCAAATGCATTCAAGATGATTTCCAATACGGTTCTGCTGTATTTCTGTAGAGATATAGTTATTTCTTTTATATAATACAACTCCACCTCCTTCTTCATTAGATCTTGGTATTTTTAATAATTTAAATCCATTTAGTTGTATATTCCATTTATGGGTTTCATTGCACCACATTTCCATATTGGCAACAATATCATATCTGCCCTCATGTACTTGGATGTTGATCAATTTCTGTTTTACTCTGCCTATGATAATGAGAAATCTCTGTGATGAAGGTACAGTGAAATGTATGGCTAACTAGAGTAAGATACTGTTTCTTTTTCATTCCTAGGCATACTTCATATGGCAGACTTTTTGATGACCATGATTATGGATCCTGGGGAAACTACAACAACCCACTATATGATGATTCCTAATCTAAGAATATTAGCCATGCCAAGGCTGTTTTTGTGTCATGACACACCTAATTCACCAAAAGCACTATGTTCCAGTATCTTTTGACATGAAATCCTATATTTTATTCCTTTTGCTGTTTCTTCCAGTTAATCTTTGGAGTTTAATAGAAGCTAAACTCTACAATGAGAATCCGATTCAAGTGATGCTTATAATAAATTATCAAATCTTATTTAATATGTTGGTGTAATTTCTGGAAAAAGATGGTTATATGGAATACTCTGATAAAACTGAAGTTTTAACAACTTATAACAGGTGAACTGTTCCTGGCAGATTTGGCATGAAGAAACAGAATGGCCTTTTTAGCTGTCCATTAGCAAACCTTTAAGGTAAAAATTGCTCCAAAGATTAATACCAACTCATGTTCATTTGCTTTACCAGGCTGTTTTTGAAAGAAGAGTGTTCTTATTAAGATTCAGTTGAATATTGTACTATCTTATATTTCACTGAAGTTCTTGTTAACTGCTTTGTTAAGTAGTCGCTATAAATGGCAGTACCATGTCAATTGCTTCTGTCTTCTTTCATCATACCAATTCAACAAAACTCTTTAACAGAGGCAACAGCTATTGGTCCACTGATAACAAACAAATATCATATTTAAGGAATGAAATTAATAATTCTCTCCCACAGAAAAACACAAACTATTAGATTTGATATGTAAAAAATGAGATTATTTCCAAAAATAAAATATTACCTCTTTGATTTGTACCAAGTATTAACTATTCCATATTTTCTGGATTCAGCATTAATGTGTTACGTGTTTCCCCAAAAATAAGACAGCTCTTGGCCTTATTTTTGGGGTGGTGTTATTATTTTTGAGGTGCAGGAGGCAACAAAGTCTCCTCATGACTGTTGCTGTGTTGCAATATTTTCAGGAAGAACTTATTTTTGAGGGAGGGCTTATTTTAGCGCATGCACTCAAAAGCCTGAATAGACTTATTATCCAGGCAGGTCTTATTTTGGGGGAAGCAGGGTAATATTGACCTTAATTTAGTTTGATACTTCCATCACAATTTCTCAACTGGATGAAAAAAGATAAATAGAATATAATTGAATATTGACTAACAATGATGCTTTACTCCTTTAAATTAAATTTCCCAGCAGTTTCTTGCTAATAAATTGGGGGTGGAGGGGGGGTGGGTGGGGAATTACAGACAAGTGGAATCTCTCAGATGTTTTCTTAATCTCTCTAAACACAAGTACCTAAAAAAGGATTGGGTAAACAGACTCCACTTCACCAAGCATTCTTCCCATTTTGTTGGGCACAACCATATTTCAAGTTACATCTGAAAACCCTACAAACAAGTAGCACCCTTAAAATCCAGAGACCATGCTATAAGAATAATTTACAGGTAAACTTTCATCAAAGTCAAAGAGCCTCTTTAAGTCTCATCTGCAAATATCGTAGACTGAAGTAAAAAATTGACCATGAATCTTTGAGGAGGTGAAAAGGAAGGAGAGTCTGCTGTAAGATTTGGTTTTAATGTTGAAAAATGGCTTTAAAAACACAAGACATAAAATAAAACCTAGGAAATTGGAGGAGAATAATAAACTCTGAGTAGTGAAATTGAGTTTCGACAGCAGATTTTTCTATCTTTGCTTAGATAGTATAGTTCAGAGGATAATAGCAACAAACTATATTTTGAAAGTAGTGGAAGACAGACTGCTACCATTTTCCAACAAACCCCCATTTTCCATATTCGTCTCTATATTCTGCTCTATCTCACTACTGTGTCCTATCAATAGAACCATAAAAATGAAAAAAAAAAGTCCAGTTTGTGAAAAAGCTATACTAAATATTATTCTGTACATTTAGTGATGGGATTCAACAGGTTTGCATCAGTTCAGGAGAACCATTTGTTAACTTTCTGGACATTTCAGAAAACTGCCTGTTGGAAGGAAAATTTCCTCCCCCCCCCACCCCCACTTTACAGGGCTAATCCTGTCAGGAAGGCAGGACAAAAACATTCTGGCACGCCTCTGTGTTGTTTCTAGCTTAATCCTGCTTATCTTTAAGTGTTTTCAGAAACTGCCTTTCTGGTTAAGCCTTGTTACATTGTAACAGCCATTAGTTGTTCTTAGCAGTATGTCCAGACTACCCTGAACTGCTTCTCTTGTTTGTTTGCTGGTATTTTTATTAGGGGCTTGACTTTTTAAAAAGCTTTTTATACTGATTTGGGTATACTTCCAAGAGGCAGGATGCAAACTTGGCACTCTGTCTGATTTTTTTTACTGCCGTTCCGGGGGCATATGATCTTTCCTTAAATCTGGATGATTTCCTTAGGATATCTTGTGAAGCAAGTGAGACCAACTGGTATGTTTAAGGGGTGCAAATGGATCTAATGATTGCTTCTCCTGGGGGGTGGGGGAAGAATGCTTTGTGAGTTCACTGAGCACAGGAGTCTCTTCTCTATGGGAATTTTCAGTCATCCAGGTCATGGTTGTTCCAAAGGTGCTTTTTTCAAGAGGCAACTAGAATTTCTTGGTTTCCAGAAAGTCCAGTTGCCTCTTGAAAAAGCACCTTTGGGAGTCTCTTGCATTACTTTAGAGTGGCCAAGGCTAATGATTGCTCACTGATAGTAAGTGGATCTTCCTTCCAATTTGTTTTAACTTTCTCTCGTGATAATAAGGTTTTCTAATCTAATGATTGGTATTTAGGGCAGCTTTTTGCAAACAAAGAAGTTTTTTTGTATAGGTAATCTTTGACTTACAGCAGTTCATTTAGTGACCATTCAAAGTTACAATGGCACTGAAAAAAGTGACATGACAGTTTTTCACATTTACAACTGTTGCAGCATCCCCACATCATGAGGCGAAGCACCCCTCGATGTGAGTGACATTGAGTTGGCCACGCCTACCCAGCTGGTCATTAGGAGAGAGAACCGGTTGTTAAATTATTTGAATCCTACCACTGTGTGTATTAAATAGTTGTTATTTTTCTTTCATGTGACAAAGCTGTACAATGGTCAGCTCTCACTTGGTAGCCTGAAATGCATTGGCCTGTGGGGTGCAGTGATTTATACTGGCAAGTAATTAGAAATGTTATATTTGGAGAAAATCAGCTCTAAAATGAATCAGAATCATAGTGGCCCGAAAGGAATCTTGGAGGTTTTTAGTCCAACCCATTTACAAGGTAGCAGCCCTTAAAGCCATGATGGTGAACCTATGGCACATGTGCCACAGGTAACACATGAAGCTTTCTCTGTGGGCACACGAGCCATGCCTAGCTCCGGTCCACCACACATGTGTGTGTGTGCCTCCCACCAGACAGCTGGTCTTCAGATCTCTGCTGCACATGCAGAAAACGCACATAGGGGCAGCCAGGGGTTGCATGCACGTGCATGGGGGCAGGGGTCATGCACGCACCCCCCACAACCCGTTTTTGGTTTCAGGAGGCTTCAGGAAGCCCTACTAGGCCCAAAATGGGCCACAGGGGGATTATGTGCATGCATGGGGGGAGTGCGGGGGAGAGCATGCATCTGCGGGGGCAGTGGAAGGGTGTTGTGTATGCATGTGTGGGGGCATTGCATTATGGGCATGGGCATGCACATATGCACTGTCAATTTTGGCACACGAGGAGAAAAAGATTAGCCATTACTGCCTTAAACTATCCAGACAAATGGATGTCCAATTGAATGAATGAATGAAATCTAGCTTTGTGCAGTTGGATTCCCAACTGCACAAAGAGCCGAGGTGGCGCAGTGGTTAAATGCAGCACTGCAGGCTACTGCTAGATCAGCAGTTCAGCGGTTCAAATCTCACCGGCTCAGGGTTGACTCAGCCTTCCATCCTTCCGAGGTGGGTAAAATGAGGACCCAGATTGTTGGGGGCAATATGCTGACTCTCTGTAAACCGCTTAGAGAGGGCTGAAAGCCCTATGAAGCAGTATATAAGTCTACTGCTATTGCTATTCCCATTGAGGTTTATTCCTTTCTAGCCATTATCACAACAGACTTTTTTGGGGTCCAGATCCTTGGTATAAATGGGAAGCTCCATTGATACATTCATTTTCCATCTAAATATGTAATCAGTTTTAAAACCACCAACTTAGGTAGTGACCATTCCCCCCTCTAATAAGTATGAGTCACATTTTAAGCAGATAATAAATACTACTTGATACTTTTTGGCATCTATGAATGTCAAATTTTAAAACTTTAATTAAGAAATAAATCATATGAAACCATTACAAGGTTTTCCCTTCAAGATTTTAATCTGTTTACATTATCTGTTGCTTTAGATAAAGCCACTACTATTTTTCTTTGCCAATTTATATGCTACCAGTTGTGATAAATAAAAATGATTTGATTGTGAATTTCTATGATTTTTTTCTCTCTCCTATTTTTCAACATATCTGTTTTATATAATAATAATGTTAGAATTATGAACAATTTTGGGATAATTTAAGATGTTTTTGTGTCTTTCCATGCTCTAATTATTACATAATATAATGTAATATTTGAGATATATTTATTTAAGCAGCATAACAATATTTTAAAATTGACATTTTCTCAGCATTCATAATTTTTACGTTTATATTTTATCACAATATTGCTCTGTTTAATGTTCTACAAATCATTTGGTTGCATGAAAGTCTATGTACATGCTTTGTGCTGTTATCTAAAATGTCAGCTGTCTTCAATTTTGTCATTATTCAGAGTAAGTTTTTAAAGACTGCTATTTCTTACTATTTTACCATTAAAGCTGATTAAATAAAATACAATGTACAGGCGCAGATTTATATTGGTATTAGACATGGTGGCTGATTTGAATGGAAGGTTGAATATAGTGACATCATGGCTGAGCCTATTTCATTTAAGTTACAATTGTTTAAATCACATGGGTTCACACTACTTACTAAAGAAGACATTCATACTGAGGACAAAAACTATGCCTTTTAGTGCTGTACTGATTTCATTCAGAGGTGGGCTTCTAGCGGTTTGGTCCAGTTCACCCGAATAGGTAGTAAAAATCTGGTGTACCTTTCCAAACTGGTAGTAATGGCAGCCTGGCCATGCCCCCGAACCGGCCACTCGCTCGCCCCACCCACCCTGCAGGTCTCTGTTCTGCAGTTTGCTGCCAGAAGTGTTGCGCCCCTGATCTGTGTGCCAGGTAAGCCTGTGAGTCATGACTTAGCTAGCTGCCCCCTTCTCCGTGGCCCTGCCATGCTTCCCTGCCCTCCACTCGGCCTTTCCCATGGCCCGCTTGTGAAGGCAGACAAGCAGAAGGCTGCATGGAAGTCAGGGAAACATGGAAGGACTGTGGGGAAGGGAGCAAGCAGCCTAGTCCCTTCCCTGTGGCCTTGTCATGCTTCCCTGCCTTCCATGTGACCTTACTAGCGGTCCCCCATGCCTGCTTGCCTTTTGAGGTCGGAACCCAGCCTGGCCTAACCAGTGGGTGGGTGGGCAGCTCTTGGTGGAAACAGAGACGCTGTGCTGGGGCTTAGAGGTGTAGTGGTGATGATGCTGTGGGAGGGCAAGTGGACATGCTGGGGCTGCTGCACATGCACCCGCTCCATTTTTGCAAAGGCACCCGCTCCATTTCTGCTACACATGCACCCGCTCCATTTCTGCAAAGGCAGAGCCCCCCCCCCCAGCAAGGCAATCCAAAGAGGGGCGGAGGATGCTGAAGAAAAGGCTGACTTCCACCCAAGCCCGCATGCCTGTTGTGCCAGCTCTGCAGGGCTTCCCAGGGAGTGGGGGAGGGGCACTGCCAGGCAGGAGCAGTTTAGCTTCAGTTGTTCCCCAGGCA